CTGCTTCCCTCCAAACTTCAACTGTCTAACTATATGAATCTTTCTTCATTTAGCATCTTTTCACTCATCTAATCATTGTGTGCAGCAGTCTCCGCCCCCTGCTCCAGCTGGTCAATGCCCTGAGCTGGAGGACTGTGGCCTGGAGACCACTGCGGTCAAGAGGGGCTGCATTTCCACCAAGGCCGCTCAGGTAAAACTTGCCCCTGTCTCAAAGAAAGGTCTACCAAAGTCTTCAGAGCAGGCTTACATCGAGTTTGAGAGCATTGAAACCATCGTGAAGACGGCGAGCCGCACCAAGTTCTTCATAGAGTTCTACTCTACTTGTCTAGAAGAGTTTAAGAAAAGCTACGAGAACGACAGCCAGAACAGCGACAACGTCAACTTCCTGCGCGTGGGGTGGTCCAACAAGCAGCTCACCACCCCCAAACCTCTCCTGTCTGAGATCGAATACCTGCAGTACCAACATCTGCTGCTGACCGTCAAGTCAGTGGATGGATACGAGTCCTATGGAGAGTACGTGTTGGCCCTCAAATCGATGATTGGCTGCACAGCCCAGCAGTTCCACACCTACCTGTCCCGCCGAGGAGAAGAAACGGGAAACATCCGGGGATCCATGAGGGTCAGGGTCCCTTTTGAACGGATGGGCACTAGGGAGCGACTCTATGAGTGGATCAGTGTGGACAAAGATGAGACAAGCGGACCCAAAGGAATATCCACCATTGTGTCCAGAGTGGGACACAAGTATGTGAAACAGTCTGTGGTTCGTAAACAGCTTGGAGAGCTGGGAAAGGTCAGCGAGGAGGGAGAGAAAAACTCTAAAGAGGAAACGGCTGCGACACCCAAACAGGACACCCCGGATTGTGATTCATCCGTCGGCAAAAACTGCTTCTAAAAGCTCACATAATCCCACATTTACACAATATTCCTGAAATAAAGTCTTAAGGTGCATTGCCAGTTGTTAACCATGTTTTTATCAGTAATGTAGTGTTAGAAATGGATTAAGGACGTGTGTCAGTATCAGTGCTACTCTGCACATCACTGACCTGCTGTTTAAAGAGATTAGCTACTTTAATAGCAGATAAGACAATCATATTAATCAG